ATATATATATATATATATATATATATATATATATATATATATATATATATATATATATATAATTTTAATTATAAATCTAAATTATAGAAATTATAAGTACTACCGTAATGTACAGTACCTTTGTACTTTTAAATACATAATTTGAGGGAAAAGCATTTAACTGTTGTGAAAATATGATGCCAAAAAAATCATAATGGTCCTACATCAGGCTACATGCTCTTTATGTAAAATGGAATTGAAAATATTCTACAAATATAACTTTCATTTTTTTCCAATTATGATTATAATTTTTTTTTCTCCATTTTACAGTGAAATATGACCTGGACGAGTTGACTGTTTTCATGAGATTCACCCTGATATGAACGTGACAGATAAACACCCTCTGCTGTTCACAAAACACACACACGCGTGCTGTAAACTCAAAATGCATGTGTGTGTCTTCATCAAATCCCCTGATGTTCCCACACACCGCAGAAAATCAGCTTCTTAACCTGTGTTCTTGTCTTGCTATCCCGTACAAATTTCTAAACGTTCTTAAACCAAGATACATTTACTCGAGAAGCAAAATTATGCACAATAAGTTGTTTTTTGAAGAATTCATCAAAATGAAGTAAGTTTAGGCTTAAAACAAGAACAAACGTGTGCCTGTGGAGTAAGAAAAATTATTTTGCTTTCCCTTTGAAGAAAGAAGTTTTTTTCTGACCCCACTGGCAGATATTTCTTCTTCTTGTTTTAAGCATAAACTCACCTCATTTTCATAAAACAAGACTTAATATCTAGAGTCATTTTGCTTCAAGTAAATGCATCTTCATTTAAAAAAATGTTTAGACATTTGTACCGGAAAACAAGATAAAAATACCAAGTAAAAAAATCCTTTTTGCAGTGCACATATGCTTTTGCATCAAAAAACAGAACTTTAGACTAGTCACACGACGCCAGGCATTTCCCGTCGTCCTCATTGGCAGCATTTGCTCAGGTTAAAAACAAAAAAACTATTAAATGTTGTGTTTTTCAGCTACCGCGCACTGTGGCTGAACTGCTGAAGTTTGCGCAGTAGGATCTGCATGAGGTCGAAGGTCATGAAGCTGATGCCGACGGCGATGGGCCCTTTGACCCAGTTCATGCTCAGGCCCTTGTAGAGGCCGCGGATCACGCCCTCCTCCGTCACGATCTCCCGCATGGTGCCCGAGATGCTGCCGTAGGTGTGTCCGGTGACTCCCGCCGTCTGCATGCGTCTGCGCACCACGTCCAGCGGGTAAGAGGCCGACTGACCGATCAATCCTGCGCACGCACCGAACGCCAGACGCTCGTACGAGAATGGATGAGAGCGGCCCGTGTGTTCTGAAACAGCCAGAGGAGACAATACTGAATACTGAAAATAACTACTAACACATGGCTAAATAAAAAAAATATGTAAATATATAAAATGTAATAAAACACAATATATATGATAATGTACATTAATTATAATAATAAAAAAATTGCCAATTAAATAAAACATTTTTAATAAATATATAAAATATAATAAATCATAATATACATGATAATGTACGTTAATAATAATAATAATAAATAAAAATGGTCAATTAAATAAAAAAAAATTAATATATAAAATATAATAAATCATAGTATACATGATAATGTACGTTAATAATAATAATAATAATTAACAGTAAAGAATATAAATAAAAATAGCCAATTAAATAAAACATTTTTAATAAATATAAAAAAGATAAAACAATATACATGCTAATGTACATTAATAATAATAATTAACATTAAAGAATCTAAATAAAATGGCCAATTAAATAAAACATTTTAAATATTTAAAATGTAATATAAAATAATAGACATTAATAATATTAACATTTTAATATTTTGAATATTAAAATGTAACTTTTTGGTTGTGTGGTAACAACAACAACGTTTCATTTGATAATATTAGTTAACATGAACTAACAATGAAGAATACTTAGTGTTTATATTGATCTTAATTGATGTTTATTACAACATTTATTAATGAATTATTTCAAAATAGTTCCATCTGTTAATATTATTTTCCTTTTTTACTTCATTTTAGTTCAGGTCTACTAAATAATATTAACAGATACAGATTTTTACTTTTAATAATGTTTTAAAGGGGTCATATGATGCAATTTCAATTGTTCCTTTCTCTTTGGAGTGTTACAAGCTCTTGGTGCATAAAGAAGATCTGTAAAGTTGCAAAGACTAAAGTCTCAAATCCAAAGAGATATTCTTCTCAGTCAGAGTCAGGCACATCTACCTAAAACGGCTCGTTCTAACACGCCCCCACATGTCTACATCACGATGTGGGAAGATTTGCATAACGCCACCCAAATGTTCACGCAAAGAAAGAAGGTGTAACTTTTATTCTCGCTGTAGCACTGTTGCTGCCGCCGCCGCCATGTCGTGAAGACGCTTCGTTGTGAAAGCGAAACTACTTTGTTTGGTCTTCCAAAAGAGGACACGACTAGAAATCAGTGGTTAAGTTGTATTCACAACACTGTTCCAGAACACTTCAACCCAAATATTCAGATGTGTGATGCACATTTTGCGGAGGTTGAGGACTGTTTCCTGTGAGAGTAGCCTACAATGCCGCTGTCTGTTTCTATAAAGTGGGGCAATTCCAACTTTGCAAGGACAGTCTTATAA